CGTCAGTCTGCCTGCTCTGCTCTCCGCTCTGGCTCTGGTGAATTCTCTCACCCTCCTCTGACGTACCCAGTGCTTGTATAAATAAATAAATAAATCTTTAAAAAAGTGATGTTTTTAAATATAAATATATATATATATATATTTATGCCTGGGGGACTTCTGGTGGCATAAGGGTTAAGTCTCAGCACTATCATGGCAGTGCCACTGTGTCCTGCGTTCAATCCCCAACCAGGGAATTAAACCCACATGGCGCAGTAGACCTCTCCTGTGTCACCCTCTGCTCCCCTCAGCAGTGTATTTCAGTCAGTCTGCCTGTTCTGTTCCCCACTCTGTCTCTGGTGAATCCTCTTAACCCCTGTACCTCTGGCCTACACCCCAATTCTTCTATATATAAATAAATAAATCTTAAAAAAAATAATAAAATAAAATCAAGATTAAATTTAAAATATATACATGTACACACACACACACACACACACACACACACACACACCCTGACATTAATCTAATCAGTGATTTAATTCACCACCTACTTGCTTTGGTAGCCCCAGTGGTGAATTGAATCACTTCTTGTTTTATAATATAAATAACTGAATAGGAATTTTTAAAATACCTATTATGAGGGAAGTCAACTGTAAGTGGTGGAAAACTAGAGGAGAGGCATTACTGATTAAGTAGAAATTTGAGAGAATTGAATGGAAACACTGGGGTTGGGGATTACTCATGGGTTAGGTGTTCATTACTGTGTCCTCTTAGAGGGCAGAACATTCACTTTTGTGAAGAATAACAGGAAAGCCATAGTATCTGGCTTCTTGATATCAAGATACTATGAAGTTGGGACATCCCTGGTGGCACTAGGGATTAAGTCTCAGCACTATCAAGCTATGGCCAGCCACTGCAACATGAGTTCGATCCCTGGCCAGGGAGCTAACCCACATGTGGCGCAGCAGACATCTCCTGTCTCGCCCACTGCTCCCCTCAGCAGTGTATTTCAGTCAATCTACCTGTTCTGCTCCCCACTCTGTCTTTGGTGAATCCCCCACCCCCACACCTCTGGCCTACACCTCAGCTCTTGTATGCATAAATAAATAAAAATAAATTTTTTGAAAAAAAAATGACACTATGAAGTCATAACCCAACTAAGTTTTCTTTTTGCCATTTCTGGCTTAAACAGTAGGGCTAGAGTGAGACCTTTTCTGACAAATCATTTAATGGTCAAATTTGATTTATATTAACTGAGCCATGGCCAGGAGCTCTTGGAGTGCACTGAACTACTCAGGTTGGTGGTCACTGAGAAGGAGGAAGCAGCAATATTGAACACAGGCCAGCAGGCCTGAGGCACAGCAGTGGGAACGTTCATCAGTAAAGCGTGCCTGCTAGTAGCTTTATCTCTAGTAATAAAGTGGATGTCAGCAAAGAGTGTCCTTAGTCATTACTAGCATGATGAACAGGTATTTTTAGTTTAACCCTTGTTAGATCCTTCTGGATACATTCCAGAACTGCCTGTGGAAAATATACTTCAACAAGATGAGAAACTACCCAAAATATGTTCCATATGCCTGAATAGTTATCAAAATAAGTATCATGTATAAATGATACTTTTAAATGAAATGATTTCACTACTGGCATTGAGTGAGAAAATTACATCATTTGTGGTGGAATCAGGACCCATCCCTGAATTTTAGGGTTTTCATTATAACTTGAAATGCTTTCAGTCTGACCTGACCTGCTTCTTTGACACTGATTTCATGTAGTTCATTCAGAGTTGTGTGCTCTGCAGGTCTAATGCTAATGAGCACCAAGTACAGGAAAACATGGTTATTTTTCATGTATACCACCGACATTAATCTAATCAGTGGTTTAATTCACCATGGACTGAAAAAAGGTAACTCAGTCTCATTTTAGAAACTGAAGCGAGAGTAAATTAAGATGGTGGGCCAACCACCCAAGTAAACCAGCTCCATATGTAACAAGTAATTTATGTTATTTATGAAAACATACAGAAAACCTGCCAGCCTAGAGTTAACTCAAAAAGAGTTCATTTTAATACAATTGTCATCGGAGAAATTCAGTACATCAAAAATCAGGCAAGACTGATTTTGTAACTTAGTCCCTCTCGAGTGTTTTATGTGAATCTTATTATTTAACCCAGAAATTATCACTGAATCCTGTTAGTTCTTATCCATCAGTAGCTAACAGGAAAAGGAGAGAGAAAAGTATTAGTATCAATAACAACAATAAAGTAACTCTTACCTCTTACCCAACATTGGTCTATCAAGTGCCCATAAGTCAGGACTCATCTTAGACAATAAAATTAGAAATACCACCTCTCTACTTTGGGATCTCAGCATAGAAGAGAAATGTGAATTGAGAAAAAAAAGTAATATAGGTTTTTAGATTTCAATTTGACATGGGAAAGTAATTTCCTAATAACATTTGTGGTTTTTTTAAAGATTTATTTATTTATGCATACAAGAACTGGGATGTAGGCCAGAGGTGCAGGGGAAGAAGGTGTGTGTGAAAGGATTCACCAGAGACAGAGTGGGGAGCAGAACAGGCAGACTGACTGAAATACACTGCTGAGGGGAGCAGAAGGCGAGTCAGGAGAGGTCTGCTGCACCATGTGGGTTAGCACCCTGGCCTGGGATCGAACTCGTGTTGCACTGACTGGAGATAGCTTGATAGCGCTGTGTCTTTAACCCCTGCGCCACCAGGGAGGCCCACATTTGTGTTTTTGGAAAGCTTATATATGATATTATAAAGCAACCATCATTAAAATCATTTTGGTATTAAAAAAAGACACATGGAACAGTGGAACAAAATCAAACCCGGAAATAAATCCACAAATATATTGACATTAATTTATTATAAAAAGGCCATGACCATGCAATGGATAAAGGAAAATCTCTTCAACAAATGGTGTAGGGAAAACTGGACAGCCATAGTTAAAGAATGAACCTGGATCACTCTCTAACTCCATACACAAAATAAAATGACATGTATATAAACCCAAAATCATAAAACTTATAATATAAAACATATGTTGTATGTTCCATTACGTTAATGATAGAGAGATATCTTTGGGGACTTTGCCCCAAAAGCAAGAGAAATGAAAGAAAAACAAAAATTGGAACTATGCCAAATGAAAAACTTGAACAAAGCATAAAAAATAACAAATTAAAAAGATAGCCTGCTGGATATGATATTTGTACATCACACATTCAAGAAGGGGGTTATATCCAAAATATATGAAGAACTCATCCAATTAAACAAACACAAAAACTGATTTAAAAAAAAAAACAGGCATTTTTCCAAAGAGACTAAATAGATGACCAATGTTCATTGATCAGAAAATATCCATCATCACTTGTTATTAGAGAAATGCAAATCAAAACCACAAGAAGATACCATTCACCAGTGAGAATGGTTTACATCAAAAAGTCTACTAAGTGTCTACAAGTGTTGGTGAGAATATGAAAAAAGAGGACTCATGCACATTGTTGATGAAAAGGAAAATGGCATAGCCATGGCAGTGCGATCCTTTCTCAAAAGAATAAAAATAGGGCCTCCCATGGTGGCTCAGTGGTTGAGCACTGGGCTGCGAAGCTGCCCGCAGCCTCTGCAGCGCCTGATCAATCCCCAGCTTCCGGAGAGTGTCCCACATGGTGCGCAGACCTCTCCTGCCGCACCCACTGCTCCCTTCAGTAGTGTATTTTGTCAGTCTGCCTGTTCTGTTCCCCATCTGGCCCTGGTGAATTCTCTCACCCTCCTGCGCTTCTGACTGTAGCCAGTGCTTGTATTAAAAAAATAAATAAATAAAAATAGAAGCACAGTATGATCCAGAAATCCCACATCTGGGTACCCATCCAGAGAATCTGAAATCATCAGCTCAAATAGTTATGCACACCACAGTGTTTATTGCAGCATTTATAGTAGTTACGATATGAAAAGAATGCAAGACCTCGGGGCCTCCCTGGTGGCAGAAGGGGTTAAGATGAAACCTGTGAAGCTATTCGCAGCCACTGAAGATTGAGTTCGATCCCCAGGTTACCCACATGATGCAGCAGACCTCTCCTCTCCTTCTGCTCCCCTTAGCAGTATATTTCATTCAGTTTGCCTGTTCTGCTCCCCACTCTGTCTCTGGTGAATCTTCTCACCCACCATACCTCCGGCCTGTCCCCCAGTTCTTGTATGCATGAATAAATAAATCTTAAAAAAAAAAAAAAAAGAATGCATTACCTCACTGGTAGTTAATTGCATAAAGAAGACGAGGAAAAGTATCCAACTATATATATTTTTTTAAAGATTTATTTATTTATTTATACAAGCACTGGGTATAGTCAGAAACGCAGGAGGGTGAGAGAATTCACCAGAGCCAGAATGGGGAACAGAACAGGCAGACTGACGAAATACACTGCTGAGGGGAGCAGCGGGTGCGGCAGGAGAGGTCTGCATGCCATGTGAGACCCTCACTGGTGTCCGGGGATCGAACTGGCGCTGCAGAGGCTGCTGGCAGCTTCACAGCCCAGCGCTCAACTGCTGTGCCACCAGGAGAGACCCAAAGTATCCCACTATAAAGACAGATAAAATTTTGCCATTTGCAACAAAATAGTAGAAACTTATGGAGATTATGCAAAGTGAAATAGAAAGATAAAGACAAATGTGGGATGATTTTTCCCATTTGTGCAGTATAAGTTAATAAAGCAGTTGAATGGACAAAGCAAAACAAAAATAAACTAGTGAATATTGGTAACCGAAATGAGGTTATCACAAGTGAAGAAGATGGGGAGCCAGCAGAGGGGGTGATGACATGTTTTAAAATAAAAAGAATTGAAAAAAGAAAGTATACATGATTTGCACTTAGTCAAGTTTTACTTTCTGGTGTTTGCTGTATTTAAGAGCCTTTTGAGACAGGCAGGGAGAGCTGGCAACTTTGCAAATCTGAACACAAACTATTTCTCATAAATTTTTAATTTAACATTCTATATTCTCTTTTACAGGAATTTAGATTTGATCGTTTCGTAGAAGATGGTAAGATTAAAACCACCTTTTACAAAAGAGGGGAAAAGCTGAAGTATTACCTATTACCATTTGGATTTGGAGCCAGCAAATGTCCAGGACGATTTTTGGCAATTGCTGAAATAAAGCTATCCCTGATTGTACTTTTAACTTACTTTGATTTAGAAATAATTGATGATAAACCTGTCAGGCTAAACCATGATCGCTTTTTTCTTGGTATTGAGCATCCAGATTCAGATGTTTTATTTAGGTACAAAGCGAAATCATAAAAGGCTAAAAGGAAAGAAACCTATCCTCAGCTCATCTATTTGTTTTTCATTTCTGCAAATGTAATTGATTTGTGCATTTGTTTGTTTAAAAAGTGCCAATTTCAGCTTGTTGTGAGATCAGTCTGGTTTGTATTAGTCACAAAATCCATCATAAAATGCAACGATGACAGTATAAAAAAGATCTCAAAGTCAATTGAATAATAAACTTAAAATAACTTCTATAAGTTTCCACATATTGTGATTTTCACCTGTCATAGAAAATGTACTTTCAAAGCAATAGATTTAGCACTTTTTATAGTCACTCAAATTCTTCACTAATATATAAAAAAATATACTTTTTGTATTGCTGGAAATTTGTGCTGGAAATGGACACAGTCTAACAAATTCCAAATTCTCAGGAAGGAAATTAAATTTCCATGAGCTAGACTAGATAAAAATATTTCCTTCAAGTATATTATCAGTAATATCTGTATTGCCAGAATATGTTTACATTAAATGAGTTTCTTAGTATATTAAATGCTTCAACTTCACTTTAATATTTAATCAATAAGTGTTCTTTATTACTTTGTATACTATGGCTCAATAGAATAACATTTTTTGTTATGTAAGGCCACTCATGTTCAAGTTAGATGGTTGAAGATTTAATATGTAAGTACACTCAAAACCTATTATATATTCAAAAATTGTGTTAGGCATTCATATTGGCTTTATTGTAAGAGCAAATATTGAAATCATTACAGGATTGACTGTAGTATTTTGTTTTAGCATAAACTATAAAGTTTGTGCCAATATTGCAATTAACCATGAATGAAATACTTTCATTTTTGGAAGCTAAGAAACTAAATGGCAGTATTCTTGATAGCTCACCTTTTGAATTTGGGGTTTATTTGTATTATTTCGAATTACACTATGGAATGCAGTATAATTTCATATGCCGCAATTTAGCATTGTGTTATTGATTCAATTATTTCAAATACCAGATTACCAATTGACTACCTGGCTTCTGATATGAATGATCATACCTAATGTAAACACAGAAAGCAGCTATAAAAGTTAATTCATGCTGCATTAATTGGAACTTCTAATATTTCAGTAATGTGTTAATGTTGTTTAAAAGGAAAGTGATTTTTAAAATAACATTATAGGGCTTCCCCAGTGGCGCAGCGGTTGAGAGCTGGGTTGCCAAGCTGCCTGCAGCCTCTGCGGCACCAGTTCGATACCCGGCTGCTCCCCGGCCACCAGAGGAGGGTCCCACATGGTGCGCAGACCTCTCCTGCCGCCCGCTGCTCCCCTCGGCAGTGTACTTTGGTCCTTCCGCCTGCTCTGCTCCCCGCTCTGGCTCTGGTGAATTCTCTCACCCTTCCGCACTTCTGACTGTACCCAGTGCTTGTATAAATAAATAAATAAATCTTTTTAAAAAAAATTATTAAAAAAAAAGAAAATGTCTTCATTATTGTCCTCATTCTTGAAAAGAGATTTTACTATTGATAGATGCACAAGTCTGGGTTAAAAGTTATTTCTTCAAAGCACTCTGAAGTTCTTGCACATTCTTAAGGCTGCCATTGTTGTTATCAAGTGGCTGGCATTTAATAAGTTTAGTTATTTGGGGAGTAGTCTGTGTCTTCTCTCTAATGGCTTTCATTTGTTCTCTTTGTCTTTGATGTTCTTCATTTCTTTCTGTTTTTCATGCTTACATGTCATGGTGTTTCTTGAGTCTGAGAATGGATAGCTTTTATCTACTACAGAATGTTCTGAACTATTATCTCTTTAAATATTACATCTTCGGCCTCCCCGGTAGCCCAGCAGTTGAGCGCTGGGTTGCAAGGCTGCCCACAGCCTCTGCAGCGCCGGTTTCATACCCAGCCACTGGGTGAGGATCCCACATGGCTTGCAGACCTCTCCTGCCACCCTCTGCTCCCCTCAGCAGTGTACTTCATCAGTCTGCCTGTTCTACTCTCTGCTCTGTCTCTGGTGAATTCTCTCACCCTCCTGCACTTCTGCCTGTACCCAGTGCTTGCATAAATAAATAAATCTTAAATAAATAAATAAATAAATGTTACATCTCTCTGACTCTATATTAGATCCCCTTGTTCTACATTTCATGTGGCTTGACCTTGCCTCCCCTGGTTTTCTATCTCTAAATTTACATTGTTTCTTCAGATCTCTTCCAGTTTATTCTCAGTACACTATTTCTAATCTGCTCTTTTACTCATTCATTGAGGTTTTTTTCTTTTTATTTTAACTTAAGGTTTATAGGATTGAGTAATCATATTCCTTAAACCCCTTAGTTCATGATTCACAAGTATAATTGCTCCAAGGTTCTTCTGACTTTTATTTATGCATTCTGTTTTATCTCTTATCTCTACCACCAAACCATCCCTATTATAACTGAATATTCTTGTGTTTTGGATGTATATGTTTTTCTTTTTCTTGGGTTCATATGTTTTTAATTTATATAAATGCATTTTATAGAAATCATATCTTTCATAATTTTCTTACTAAGCTGTACATATTAAATCTATTGCTTTTAACAGTTGCAAAGATTTCCATAGTGTTCACCCACCATACTTTAATGATCTATTTACCTAGCGATGAAAATTTTTGGTTAATGAGTTAATCTGAGAGAGAGGCCAAAGCAAAAGTTGAAAGAGACTCAAACCTACCCTCCTATTGTTATGCCCAGCTACCCTCTGCCCTGAGCTGCTACAAACCACATCCTCCACCCATGTCCCCAACAATCATGTTTAGTCCATAGAGCCTTCATTCTCTTTGTGATATTATGTATTTTATCCTCAGATCCTTACAACCCTCTCTCCCCACGGGAACACCAGGCTTGATTTTGATTAAGTGTACCAGCCCCTAACTTGTCAGAATTCAGGTTTTCATTTCCACTCAGTTTGTTAAATTTAGTCTTAAATTCAGTTTTCTAGAATTTTCTTTTTTTCCTCCTATTTTCCTGATCATTTTTGATATCTTTTTCCTTCATCATGTACTCAATATTTTCTTTTACTTCTTTAAATATATTAAAAAAACCAATTTTATATTTTGCATCTACTATTTCCAAATCAGCTGTGTTCTGTGGGTCTGCTTCTGTAGTTTGTTTTTCTTTTAACTCTTACTCACAATGGCTTGCTTATTGGAGCCATATTCCTTGGAATTTTTTCTCTGAAATTTTTTTAGACCTGAATTTAAAGTCGATGCCTTCAGAAAGTATTTGTGAATTTGTGTGTTTGTTTTTTTTTGTTTGTTTGTTTGTTTGTTTGTTTTTTTAACCTGACTACTGATGTTACTGAGAGAAACTCAAATAACTTTAAATTTTCAGCTGGAGCATTTTGAGCGGGGGTATGAGCTACATCGGTAGTTTGTGCTCTAGCCCTAAATCAATTAGAATGCAACCTTATCATTGACAATAGACAAGAGAGACTTTCTGAGTTTTTTTCCCATCACCCTGAGCTATCACTGAGTCAGGTAAGTAGACCTACAATCTTGCTCTGTGGTAAGATTTCTTTCTAGTTCATCTATTAAGGATGTTGCATTTTTAAGTTCTTGGCTTTGTATAGAGATCTTTGATCTCATCTCTCTCTCTCTCTCTCTCTCTCTCTCTCTCTCTTCTCACAGAGCGAGGTCCTTAGACTTTATTTCTCACCTTCCATATTCATTTTATACTAGGATGTCTAGTCAGTCATATTGTTTGTGGTGGAAGTCTCCATATTCTTAAATTCTTAGTTCACTTTTGTAATGTTGCAGAAGAGAGAACACAAGATATTATTCCATTTTAATTTCTGCTTAATTTGATAATTAGAAATATGTAAAAAATTTAGAACAGAAAGTAAAATAAGGGCCTCCCCAGTGGCGCAGCAGTTGAATCTGGGTTGGGAAGCTGCCCGCAGCCTTTCAGCGCTGGTTAAATCCCTGGCCACCGGGCAAGGGTCCCACAAGGCGCACAGACCTCTCCTGCCGCCCGCTGCTCCCCTCAGCAGTGTACTTCAGTCCTTCTGCCCGTTCCGCTCCCTGCTCTGGCTCTGGTGAATTCTCTCACCCTCCCGTGCTTCTGACTGTACCCAGTGCTTGTATAAATTTAAAAAAAAAAATCTTAAAAAACAAACCAAAAAAAAGTAAAATAGATAAGAAATGATTATATAAAAACAATAAACTAGTAGAAACAAAACAAGAGAGTCTTATAACAGAATGAATCTAGTAACTGAAGAGTGTTTAAGAATATAAAAAATGTCATGGAGAAGTAAGTTAAAAAGCATGGATCTAGCGAAGACATAGAGGTTTGTTTTCACCAATAAGTTACATTTTCTCTCAGTGTTTCAGTTTCCTTATTTGCAAAATAAAAATAAGGCCCTCTTGACACTAAGTTCATTATCAGGATTAAACACATCAATGTGTTAACTTATTTTGAAAAGTACAACGCAAAATGCAAACACGAAGTTGTAAAGGAGGTACTTTAATACCATTTTGCCTTTTAAAAACTGTTCTTATGTGTTTGTTAAAGAGAATAATATTTTAATCATTATTTAATTCATAATTTGTTTATTCAATTGAACATTTCCTGCATCCTAGAAATAATGCTGTACATTGTATTATCTGCCTTTTCCATACACAATCTTTCTGGGAGGTCAATATGTACACAACTAATTTATTATGAATGCAGTTGTATAAATTAAATATTTTAAACTATTCTAAAATTTTAATTTATCACTAGTTCTAACCTTACATCACTCATTCCGAAGTATATTTTTCTGTAATGAGAAATTACTATATATATAAAACTATATACACTAAAACATATATATCAGGTATTACGATTGTATGGTAAAAAAACAAACAACAACAACAAAAATTAGTCACTGAGGCTCCAAAACTTTAATTTTAAAAAATCTATTTTACCTAGGATGAAAACCTAACTTCATTTCTCCACTGTCACCTAAGTTTCAAGTTAAAGGGCATGAATGACTAATAATACTGTCTCATGTCAATGACCAACAGTAATGAAGCAATCAGTTAACAAAAGCTAAATGCTCTGAAGTTGCTTGCTTGCTTGTTTGTTTGTTTGTTTGTTTGTTTGTTTTTAAAGCTATCACTAAGTAAGCAAGCAACCTGTACTGGGAACTTTTATCTGTCTTGCTTGGCTTTCCTGGCATACTTCATATCTTCTCCATTTCACCATTAAGGTTTGGGCCACAAGTGTAAGGAAAAGGAGCTTCCATACTCAAAATTGGCATAATTGCATATGTTTATTTTGTCATCAAAGGTAATCCAGATAATATTTCCTATAAAGATCTTCTATTTTAGCAGTGGAACAATAAAACCATTTTCATTTTGATCTTAGTACAAAATAATGTCAGTAATCCTATTAAAAAAATTATATGACCTGAGAATGTGCAGTTTTAACATATTAAATTCACTAATATTGAAAACTATTATTTACTTGAACTGTGTTATTAAGTATTCATATTCACATACTCAATTAAGGAAAAGTTCACAAGACAAGATTACATTCCCTGTAGCATTATTTTAAATTATGATCACATAAAACTCTAGTATTTTTTTCTAAAGCAATTTATTACTTACTCCATAGTGTTAACCTAAATCAGTCATCATCAATGTTTGAATTTTTAGCTTAAATATTTGTTTATAATGTTTTCTTGAATAATATGAATTTCATTCATGAAAAACTCTACTGCACAATTTTAAATAGGAGTTAATTTGGCAATACTTACATTTAAATATCTTCTTTTTAGGAAGAAGAATGCTGTGTAACATAAAATACTTTTGACCTGAATTGTTTGTTTAACATTGTCTTTTGATTTTAGAATGCTATATACATATGGATTTATGAGTAAGCAGATTATCTTAAAAACTGTTAGGTGTGAGCTCTTTGTGAATCTATTTACTGTCCCTTTTTTTTACAATAAGAATTCAATAAATCAACTTTTAAAGCACAGATGAATGACAATGTCTCCTTATTTCTCTACTTGGAACATGTTGGGTGACAGAAGATTTGATTACAAATAGCAAATTACTTGGGAAAAGATTTTGCTGTCTAAATAGCCCCATGTGCCTATTGTGCACCCCATATATATAGTTTTATTCTCTGATGCTCTCCCTTCAAGTATATAGATTGCTGTATTTAGAATGCCTTAACTTACTTGTTTGGGATATAAAAAACAGATCCAAGCAATATCAGTGACTAATAAGTTTTCTAGGAGGTTAATCTTAACCAAACTGACCTTGCTTGGCTACAATTCTTAATAATCACTCTTACTCTGTGGAGAGAAGTATAAAGTGTAAAAGAACAATGAGTAAGTGAGAGATTCCATTAGATGTGGTCTCCTGAAGATGACTACAGATAAAGAGCGAGGCTGAATAATATTTGGACAGTATTCTAATTACCCATAAAGCTGAAATGCAAACTGTAAATAAAGCATATAATACAGAATGCTGTTGATGAAATGAAACATGGCTCCTTTAGTAACTGACATACAGCATTTCACTGGGACATTTGGCATTTATAAAAACACTCCTGTTAGTCATTAACATTTTGCAAGAATTGGTCTTAGACTCTTAAGGTATTCCTCATTTAAACTAGTCAGTTCAGTTTTGTTTAATAATTAAGGTAAATTATGTCATTAAATGAGACATATATGAAATAATTTTCTTTGCTTCCAATTTTATTCAAAGAAACATTTATTGGGTAAATTTTAAAAATTGCCAAATTATTGGAATTAGCCATGATCATGTGAATAATAATATGCATTTTTCTTTAGAATGTAGCTGGATAGAAAAAATACTCAGTGGTTATACTGGATAATTTTAAAAGTATTTGATATAGTTCATTGTTAATTATTTGAGGTGTAGATTACATTCTCAGTTCCTAAATGCATTCATTTTTATTAGGAAAGACATGATCTATTGCAGACTACAGAGAAAGTAAATGTTTACTGATATATTCATGAAGCATCTTATTTCCCTTAAAACAGTCTACGCTTATAGGAAAATCTAGAGAAACAGAAGTAACAGAAAAGGTAATAATATCTAATGATTCACGATTGGGTCAAATTTAAACATTTACAGATATAAAACATATTAGTTGGATATTTTTATTTGCAAGAGAGTATTTATCCCATATAACTTTTATGTCTAAGAACTAGCCATTGTAGTTAACATAAAATATATCATTATTACCTGACAACTCACTTTTGTGGCTAATGATTTTGTCTTTTTAACATTTAAATGAAATGTGCTTTCATTTGATAACTTCTAAGAAATAGCCATTATCTTTAAAGTTTTATAAATGCCTTTGTTTTTACTTTGAATGGACTATGTTTTAAGTATTTGAGTGATTGCTCTTGTTTTTTTAATGAATCTTAAAGTGTAGAAGTAATATTTTACTCCATGTTTTGAAATTAGGCATTTATTTTTTGAAAACTTTCCTTTCTGAATTAAATTTAGGCTTACCAAAAAGCCTTGATAATATTCATCAGAAGAAAAAAGAAAAAAGGAAGACAGTCTCTAGACTAAACAATACTTGCACAAAAATTAAGAGTGATCCTAAAACTTAACCAGTTGATGATCTTAATCCTTGATCTTAGAGATGGTTGTCCACAACAGCTTTAGTTGGACAACATACTTTAAGTATAAACTACATGTCAGAAATAATTTGAAGATTCTATGTAGTTCAAATAATTATTCTGTTCCTTTAAAAATGTAATTTTCTAAATTTTATGAAGAGCTTTCTTTGCTGAATAATTCCAGATTTTATTTAATTTCACTGTCCTGAAAAATATACAGTTTAAAGAGATGTATACCTTATGCTACTCCAAAAGAAAAATAAAGTAAGTTACTCTTAACCTTGCTTTCTGGTTTATGAGGTGTTTAATATATAGATTTCCTTTC